TATATATATATATATATATATAATGTATTGAAGATGACAATTCACTAAGACTAGATTTTGACTAAACTGGTGCCTCTGCCTCGCCCTCAGTCTTAATTACTTCTGTAAGCTGAACACACATTTGTAACCGGATCATTTCTGACAGTCTTGGGTTGAAAGAAGCAAAAGAAAACAAGGATTTAAATTGTTGTTCATGAATATCTAATTAGACTTTGTTTGTTTGCAAATTATCTAAGATGCAAACGTAATTGATTTGTTGATGACTAAAACCTTGGAGAACCTTTAGTATGATGGTTTTAAATGGACTGAAATTTGTTGAAAGAACGTAAACTTTTAGCCGCCATGTTGCAAAAAAAAAAATCAGTTTTCAAAAGCCAAACACCGAAAGTACCTGAAGCTGCTTTCAGGTTAGAAACTCTCTTCGTCAGATCATCGGTATCAGGTCAAAAGTACAATTATCTTCAGCTCCTTCACGATAACAATCACAAGTCACCCTCAGTGAGGAGGTGAAAGGTCAAAGTCAACAGTCAGCAGACATCAGAATCTGAATGTCCTGATGGCGTGTAATGAAGACGCCACAGTGAGAGGAAGTAAGAGCTGCAGGGAGCGTCCTCCTCCCTCTGAATTACACTCACGAATAATCATTTCCAACCACTCACCCTTCAGAGGCGTCAGAGCCTCTCCGCCTCAGTTTGACTGATATTAGTCAAATTGCGTCATGTGCCTTTAAAGATGACTCTCCTTAAGTGCAAGAGGGTGTTGAAAGCAGCGCGGAGCTTCAAAGCAAGATCTCTCTCCGCCAAGGTCATCTCATATTTTAACTCCAATTTCAATACTTTATGAGCGTGACTGTAATTAAAAGGATGGGGGTCAGCTGTCTGATATATTATGACAGAGCAGCCAGCAAGGTAAGCCCAGTTATTAACTTCAAAAAAAGAGAAGAAAAGAAATTCAGACTGAAAATGGAGCAACTTTGTGCTCGTTTTAAGCTGCATGTATCCATGATGGGGTTTCGTACAGGAGAGTAAATTGTAGGGAGATTATTGATCATCCATCAACAGATGCAACCCGTCTGTCAAGCTTTGGCTTGAATTAGGATGCATGAGGAACGAGCAACAAAGAGAGTCAAAACACTCCAGAGGATGGTGTCTTTTTTTAATTGGGTTTCCAAAAACCAAAACAGTCATCACTGAGCGTAATCCCCGGCTCTATAGAATCCTCAAACACTCGGTGAACAGGCTTCTTGCCTTAAAGAGATGTTCGGCTTTTTGAGACTGTCAGAAATCACACAATCAAACCCAGCAGCCCAGTATCACGGCAGGTCGTCAAATAGTCACCAAATGCAGTTCATTGGTTTCTTGTACATGGAAAGTCAACATTTTTGTATTTTTTATATTTTTGTGTGTCGCACAGGGCGGAAATAATGACAGTGGAAAGTCAAATAGGAGCCTTTTTGGTAGAGGATACAAGAATTAAATGCATCCAAATACCCAAAAAAGATGACGATTGGTGGGCTGGAGGGTCCAACAAACAGGACTTTAGACCAGGAGGCCGGTGTCCTACACCACGTTGAGGTTTTATGGTAGTGGTGTTGTTGTCTAAACCTAACCGTACGTAGTTATTTGAAGCCAAAACATGATGTTTTACCTGAACCTAACTTAACGGATTTGTTGCTTGTTTTTAACATAATGTCTTTACGAGCGACACAAAAAATACGGATAATTCATGTTCCTGGTCACAAAACCAATAGATTGTATTTTTTTTTTACTATTGCACAAACTGCCGTGATGAACTGTGTTGAACCCAAATGACTTCATGTCCTCCAGATAAAGTAACCACAACCAAACAGCCATAAATCCTGCCCCACTTTAAAGCATCAGCATATGAAGAGATGAAGTGGAGCCCCGAATGTGTGAAACTTCACACAGAAACAAAGTCGGCAGCGAGCGATCGATCGGAGACTCCCCCGGTGATGTACGGAGAGGAGGCCGTCGGCCGGTGAGGGAGGACGGAGGAAACAAAGACGCCTCAAGGAGGAAGTGAAGGAGGGAAAAAAAATGATGTAAACAAATGGAAAAGCTCAGCCGGACGCGTTAGCAGGCGTGGTGTTGGCCAGCTATCGACTGAGAATGAAAAACTAATGACGAAGGCGCCTGTGGAAATGCATTACTTATCGTCTGGAGGAGAGGATGCTGTGAATTTAATGTTAGAGAAAACAAACTAACTAAACCCTCATCGAAGCCTGTTAATAGCAACACAATCTAAACCATAAAAGTGCCTTTAAAGCTAAATCTTATGCAAACAGTAAGAACTAAAGCAGAATTTCTGTTTCTGTTGTTTTTGCTCCAATGAATTATTATCCAAATGTGCTGCCATGTTGTTTTATAAATGAGACAGTTCATGTCAACAAATGGGAAATAAAATACAGAAAACACTGTTCACATATTAAGGATCTTATGATGATAGACAAGACATGACTCAACTGTAGAGACTGACTTCAGAACTACAGATATCGGTGGCTGGTTAAATCCTCCTTATAATTTCATAAACTTTAATTGCGACTCATTGAAACTGGACCTCCAGGATTGGATTTCATTGTCCCACCAGCACCTGAAAAAACATGGCCGACGCAGGACAGTTTTCAGCCTGTACGTCCGGGTTCAGACGGACGGTGTCGGCTCGGATCGGGAACCCCAATCGATTGCTTTATCCTGTGTGGTTCGTCATAGTGGACGACAGCCAACGCCACAACTGAGACGCCTCGCAATGTCCCGACAGAAAAATGAGCAAGTTAGATTTATTTGCCTTTCGATTTCTATGTAGAAGACGTGGAACTATTTAGACTTTATCGAAGACAAAAAACATGAAACACACCAACATTTGCTTGTTTTTACATTGTCGTTCCTGGAAGTTGGTAGCTTCGTCCCGATGGCGTCACACGCGGCGTGAAAGAAAACATTCTTTGATTGGCCGTGGATCACAGTGTAGTCTGTCACGGCAAGAATTCCTGACTCTACAATCGGCTGATCTGACACCGCGATCATGTTAACGGACTAATTCACCGTGTAGTCTCGAGAAGGCGAGGCAGCAGTGTCTTCTCATTGTATTGACGATTCAATCCAAAGAGTTTGACATCCGTCAGAAAGTCTTCTCACATTGTCTGAGGGAAGAAATGAATGAGCCGATTACCCCGGACACCCGATATAAGCCCCACCTCCTCCAGGGAGACACTCATAGATTCATACCAGCCCTCCTCCTCCTCTCCTCTCTCTTTAGTCCACCCCTCTCTCTCTCTCTCTCTTTTCTCTCCAGACAAATTAACATTAAAGAACACATACATGAATCCTAATCCTGCCTCTTGCTCTCTCTCTCTGTGGTCACATTATCATTGGGGATCACTCCTTCACATCCATACATGTCCGTCTGAAACCTCTCTCTCTCTTTCTTTGGACAAATTAACATTGCTAAGCACTCATGCACATTCAAACACGTCCCTACATCCCCGGCCTCTCTTTCTTTCTCTCTCTCTCTCTCTAGACAAATTAACATGGTAGAACAAACACCTTTGTCCTCATCCCTCCTCCTCCTTTCTTTTGCTCTTTTTTTTCTGCCTCTGGTCAAATTAACTTTGGGAATCACGGAGATATTCATACAAACCTCTCATCCTTATTTCTTCCTCTTCGGTGTGTCTTCATATCTTTCTATATCTTCAGGGCAAATTAGCATTGGGAAACACCCGTCCATGTTTTAGATCCTCTCCTTATCGTTCTCTGCAGACATATTGACATTGACGGCCACACATATGTCCTCTCTTTGCATCTCCAGTTTTGGTGCATGGGGAGAATCCGTTAGAGGTTTGCAGAAAGTCAAAGAACAAAAAAAAAAAAAAAAAAGAACAAAAACCTCAAATGTGGAACTCCAATTAATTTAAAGCCGCCCCTCACCCATCACCAGCACCAATCAGCCAAGAATAAATCCGCGGCAGATCTAATTACCGCGCCGTCTCCGAAGACCCCGGCCGCCGCGAAGCCAATCTTCCCCTCCTTGTTTGAACAGGCTGATGAACTAAGGGACTCGATGGATATCAAGTCATTTTGTTTAATTTATAAATCGATTTTCCCCTAATACTTAAATTATCATCAGCATGAGAGAGAGAGAGAAAAGAGAGAGACGCACAATGAAAAGCATTTGGAAGGTAAAAAAAAGTCTTGAACATGTGGTGCAGGAGAGAGAGATGATGGAGAGATGAGAGGACGGAGGGATGGAAGAACGGCAATGCAAAGAATCCCAATGAGCGATGTGTCCTTTTCCAGGTTACAGCAGTGACGGCTTTACAATTCGCCGCGCTAATTGTATTCAAAGTTGCAGCAGTGAATGCTGGGAGATAAACGGGGGCACAATGAAGGAAGTGGGCGTCGAGGTCAGAGAGTGGGAGGGTGCAACACCTTCAAACTCCCAGCTGATCAAATACGCTTTAGGTTCACCTCTCGTGTTCGTCGGGACGCAACGTGTCCTCGTGCAACGGTTCGTGTGATATCTTATAACACAAGTCAATCATGCTCCTTACAGGCAAACAAAATACACTTCAGTCCTCACAGGAAACAACTTGGGTTTAGAAAAGATGGTGAAATACTAAGTTAGGTTTAGGAATAAAAAGAACTACCCTAAAACATTTCCTCATCTCCTTCCTTTACTTCCATGACCTGTATATTCTCTGTATGTACGTTGAGAGCAACGTAAAAAACGGAGTCAAATTCCTCGTATTCGTACACATACATGACCAATAAAGCTGATTCTGATTCTTTTATTTCATCTTTTCTTCTTCCTCTTCCACATTTGAATCTTTCCTGAGACCATTTCTCATCTGTCGAGCTCTTTTCTCTTTCTCTTGTCTTCTTGGATTTTGTTAAAAGTGGTGATAAATGAACCTTATGCAGGTCATATTTGGTCATGAAGCCCCTGTAGGATAATAAAGACGCCAGCCTTCCCTCCTTTCCTACCTGGTTCGGGGGTCTCAGAGTGCGACGACGAGGAGGCCGAGGACGCTCCGTCCTCGTTGACGGCTCCCTGGGACAGAGACATCCCTCGGCCCGGAGGAAGCTTCATGCCGAGCTGCTCCGCCATCTCCACGTGGTCTCCGGGGTGGACGTAGTCAAAGACGCTGCTGCCGGTCAGCTCCACCTGCACAGATAAAGAAAGAGTTACTTATCTTCGTCGTCCTCTCCTCCACCTCCCTCGTCCACCTACTGGATGATGGATTATGTTCAGAATGTTTAGTGGTGGATGTGATTGAGTTAGACTTGAAACATGTTTTCCAAAAACTGAAAAGTTCAAATCCCGACGCCGGTTTTGGAAAGTTCCCAGAACTGCTGCTCATCTTCGTTATTTAATCTTATTTCCTGAACATTTTGTTCTCCATCTCGATCTCGTCAGTTTCTTTCTCATTTTCAACCTCTTCATCCTAAACCTCTTCTTCTTCTGTTTCTTCTCCACCTCCTCTGCTTTTCTTTTTTTTGATATAGTCTACTACAACTTTGATATCATCGTTTTCCATTTCTTCTTCATCCCTCTTTCTCTTTTACTGCTTTTTCTTACCCTTCTCTCTTCATCCTTCTCAAGTTTACTCTGCCCTCTTTCTCCTCCACCACATCTCCTTGACATCCTACTTTTCCTCTTTTCTAACCTCTGCTTCCTCATTCACTACGTTTACATGCACACTCATATTCATATACAATATTCTGAATCTAACACGGTTCATGTAAACATCCTATTCCTTTTGGATATTCCGAATATAAAGTCTTATTCCAAATGTATCATATTCAGAGTAAAACCTGTGTGATGTGTTGATATTGTTCAGGTTCTAGGATCATTCTTTGGACATGTATACATGTATACTGTATATATATACGTATACATGTATATATATATATATATATATATATATATATATATATACACGTATACATATATATATACTGTATATATATACATGTATACAACTCATTCACTATCAGAGTCTCTCTCCTGTTGACCAGCAGCACTGTGCGTTGAACACAAACCAACCAGCCAACAGTTAGTAGAGCTGCAGTAGAGATGATGTCCAGAAGAACAGAAGGAGAAACATCATGAAGGACTTGGAGATCAACAGGTTTCTGGATATGAACAAATATGATTTAGAGAAGCTGTTTGAAGGAATGAAAGAGGTCCAACAAGTCCTCCACCTCTGGAGCACGCTGAGAGAACATCTGTTGGCTCCCGATATTCACTTTGACGTATTTAGACGAGATGAACGACGTGTGAGGACGTCGAACCGTCAAACACAGAAGAGACCGACGTCACCGTGAGACTCACTGCTGATGAAGATGAGGAAGATGATGCACGACGTCGTTTTACGTTAATCTGATCTATAAAAAACTGCATGTAAACGGGATTATTAATATTATATTTCAAACTGATTATTAGGAATATAGATTTTTCGGAATTTGGGCAAAAACAGGAATATTTGGTGCACGTACACGTAGCCAGTGTTTCTTTGCCTTCCTCCTCCTCCTCTTCCTCCTCCTCCTCTAATCCATACATTCTTCACCCTCTTCATGCATCTTCCAGCTTCCTGTCTTTCCTCCCGTTCCTCCTCCTCCTCCTCCTCCTCCTCTAATCTGTCCCTCAGCAAATCAGCGACGGCTTTTCATTCTCATGGAAATGGAATAAATAAGCTTCCTCTTATTAAATAAATACAGAGTCCCTTCACCTTAAAGACTCTCATTAGCGCCGATAGAAGCGGATTTGTCTTCGTTAATTGGGGATGAGACGAGGGAGCGCCGCCAAAAAACACCGCGTTACGCTACACACACACACACAGTCAAGGTTATAAACACACACAAACACTTTTGTATTTTTTGTGTAGTTAACAAACACACTCACAATTAAGTACACGATTTTCAACGGGATCATGTGACCGATGTGCTCATCGTTTAACGTGCGTGTTTTCATTTGTAGCGCATCAACAACTGTGCGCTAATCTGGTTATGTACTGTGTGTGTGTGTGTGTGTGTGTGCGTGTGTGTTCAGGTTTTTGGGGGTCCACTGGGACAAAGGGGATTACATGGGTGTAATCCCTTTAATAAGAAATCCCTTTAAGGCAATTTAGTCCCCTCATAAAGTCTCATCTGGAGCAGAAAGTGATGATTAAGAAATGAGAATGATCGCTGAATCACATACACACCCACACACACACACACACACACACACACACACACACACACACACACACACACACACACACACACACACCCTGGTGCACCATGGGAGTTAGTGTTCATGTTTACACGTTACAGTGCAAATTGGATCTACATTGTTCTTCCTCGCAATAACACGCCGACTTTTAATCAATTAAAACTTGGCACAACTATTTTACATAAAGTCGCTGGAGCTAATTAACACAGAGGGAACAACGCAGAGGTGGAATTAGACATTCAGACGGTTACTGCAGCAACACGGAGAATTAATCCCACAATAGACTGAGGAACAAAAAAAAATGTCAGATGACAATTAAACAACAAAACTGGTGGAATTGTGGTTGAAGCGCTGCAGGTAGTTCTGGTTTGCACTCTTGAAAATATCAGTTGAAGCGTATGAACGTTAATTAAAATCAGTTAAAATGTCTTTGTGACATTCACCGAGATGAAGGACACAAAAAAACGACATCTCTTCTGCGTCGACGCCTCGCGGCAAACTGCAATATGTTTACTTGGCAACTAGAGTGACTCTGATTGAACACACCGAGTCTGTTTTTCACCAAAACACGCGCTGAAGATGCATCGCAACCTGGGAAACATTGGCAACCGTAACCGCCATGCATCATGTTCTCCTCCCAGCCTTTTCCCACAGAGGTTGGCCAAGTGATTTAATGCCATTATGATGCTTTTTACTCCTCCGCGAATCGCCACCTTAACGTGGTGGAGGAGTTTGAGTGGCTCAGTGATCCTGGGAGCTATGTTGTCCGGGGCATTAGCCCCTGGTAGGGTCTCCCAAGGCAAACAGGTCTCGGGGGAGAGCCCAGACTAAGAGCGGTTCAAACGACCCTAATGATAAGCAGCCCACGGACTTTAGCCACCTCGCCCGGACCAGGGAAACCGGGGCACCCTCCCGGAGCTAGACCCAGGAGGGGAGCTCGTTGGCAAGCGTCTGGTGGCCGGGCCTTCGCCCATGGGGCCCGGTCGGGCTCAGCCCGAATAAACAGCATGGAGCAGCCACCCTGTGGACCCACCACCCGCAGGGACAAGCATTGGGGTCGGGTGCAATGCAGACCGGGCGGTGGGTCAGGCGGGAGGCCTGGGCAAGCCGATCGCCGGCAGCATAGACTAGCTCTAGGGACGTGGAACGTCACCTCGCTAGTGGGGAAAGAGCCAGAGCTGGTGCAGGAGGTGAAGCGATACCAGCTAGATATAGTTGGACTCACCTCCACACACAGCGCTGGCTCTGGAACCAAGCTCCTGGAGAGAGGTTGGACTTTGTCCTTTTCCGGAGTTGCCCAGGATGAGAGGCGCCGGGCGGGAGTGGGGATACTCACGAGCCCCCGGCTGAGCGCCGCTGTGTTGGAGTTCTCCCCGGAGAACGAGAGGGTCGCCTCCATGCGCCTACGGGTTGCGGGAAGCAAGGCTCTGACTGCGGTTTGTGCTTACGCACCAAACAGCAGTTCAGAGTATCCGGCCTTCTTGGAGTCGGTGGGAGGGGTCCTGGAAAGGGCGCCACCTACCGACTCCATAGTTCTCCTGGGGGACTTCAATGCTCACGTGGGCAATGACGGAGAAACCTGGCAGGGGGTGATTGGGAGGAACGGCTTGCCCGATCTGAACCCGAATGGTGTCTCGTTATTGGACTTCTGTGCTTGCCACGGTTTGGCCATAACGAACACCATGTTCGAACATAAGGTGGCTCATAAGTGTACCTGGTACCAGAACACCTTAGGCCGGAGATCAATGATCGACTTTGTAATCGTATCATTTGATTTGCGGCCGTATGTCTTGGACACTCGGGTGAAGAGAGGAGCAGAGCTGTCAACTGATCACCGCCTGGTGGTGAGTTCGATCAGATGGCAGGGGAACCGGTTGGAAAGACCCGACAAGCCCAAACGTGTAGTGAGGGTGAACTGGGAATATCTGGAGGAGGACCCTGTCCGGGAGGTCTTTAACTCCCACCTCCGGAAGAACTTCTCTCACATCCCGAGGGAGGTTGGGGACATGGAATCCGAATGGACCATGTTCAAAGCCTCTATTGTGGACGCGTCCGCTAGGAGCTGTGGCCGGAAGGTCATCGGTGCCTGTCGTGGCGGCAACCCGAGAACCCGGTGGTGGACACCGGAGGTGAGGGAAGCCGTCAAGCTGAAGAAGGAGACCTTCAAGGCCTGGTTGGCCCAGGGGTCTCCCGAAGCAGCTGACAGGTACCGGCAGGCCAGAAGGGCTGCAGCTGCGGTGGTCGCGAATGCTAAAACTCGGGCATGGGAGGAGTTCGGGGAGGCCATGGAGAAGGACTTTCGGTTGGCCTCTGGCAAACCATCCGACGGCTCAGGAAGGGAAAGCAGGGCTTACCCCAGGCTGTTCTCAGCAGGGGGGGGGAGAGAACTGCTGACCCGGACACGGGACATCGTCGGGCGGTGGAAAGAGCACTTTGAGGAACTCCTAAACCCGACCAACATGTCCTCTGCAGAGGAGGCAGCGCCTGAAGATCTCGGGGGAGGCTCACCCATATCCCTGGCAGAGGCCGCTGAGGTAGTCAAAAAGCTCCTTGGTGACAAGGCGCTGGGGGTGGATGAGATCCACCCTGAGAAGCTGAAAGCACTGGACATAGTTGGGCAGTCCTGGCTGACACGCCTCTTCAATGTCGCATGGGGGTCGGGATCAGTGCCCATGGACTGGCAGACTGGGGTGGTGGTTCCCATTTTCAAAAAGGGGGACCGGAGAGTGTGCTCGAATTACCGGGGTATCACACTACTCAGCCTCCCGGGGAAGGCTTATGCCAGGGTGCTGGAAAGGAGGCTCCGACCGTTTGTCGAACTTCAGATACAAGAGGAGCAATGCGGATTCCGTCCCGGCCGTGGAACAGTGGACCAGCTCTTTACCCTCGCAAGACTACTGGAGGGGTTCTGGGAGTTTGCCCAACCAGTCTACATGTGCTTTGTGGAC